GCCCCCCCAGCTCCTTCGGGGAGGGAGGGGCCCAACCCTGACCCCAGCACTCGAGGGGCAGCCCCCGCAGTGCCCAGCACAGGGGCACGGTCCCTGCCCTGCTCCTGCTGGCCACACCACTCCTGAGACAAGCCAGGATGTTCTTCTTCCAACTCAACATGCAGCAACACCACACACTTGAAACAACACTTCCCAGGCTGAGAAGGTTCAAAATTAGTTAACAGCAATTCCCGATTGCTTCACGTAGGCAGTGCTAACTTAAATATTCTAGAGTAAGCAAAAATTAACAATAAAATTGACATAATGGCTAAATAAACCAGTTTGATATCCATAACAAGAAATCTCTCAAGCATTGGACTGATGAGGAAAGGTACCGTGTGCTTCTCAAAAGCACGGTGCTACCTACAGTAGTAAATGAAAGATGAAAACCCCCTGGTAATTATGCAAATAATATTTCCCATTATAAATCTTCAGCTCCTCATTAGGTTGAAGGCACAAAACCTTTGCCTCTGCAGCACAATATTAAGAATCCAAAGGTTTAAGGACTAAGGTTGTAATTCCTCTCTGTTTTCCTTTGTTCCTATATTTTGATGTGATAAAATAGTAAACATTTGTTTACTATACTGTAATAATTCTTCAACGATACCATTGTCATAAAGGTGAAAAAGCAGTGGGAAATGTCTGCAAAAGATACTCGGGTGTACTTAGGTGAAACTTGTTTGGTTTTAAATTGTTATTTGGAAAAATAACATGGGCAATAGATTTTTACTTACACAGCACTGATAAAGCTATTGCTTATTGAAGTGATTGGTTTTCTAGGTTACCGACCAATAAACCATAGAAAGCTTTGATTTTACTTCAAATACAGAGGGCCAAACAAATATTTATATAGATGCTGACATAAGCAATCCCATTCATTTTAATAGGAATGCTCATAAGTATTTTAAACTTTTTTCCTTAAAAATACCGATTTGTTTCCTACTTATACTTAAGTAATGAAAAAAAAGGCATATTCAAACCTCAGAAAATAAGGATTGTTGTTACAAAGAAGGGTCAATACAGGCTCAATATAGCAAGCAACTGCTACAGATAAGAAGTTATAAATTTGCCAGACATTTGAAATGGACTGAAATATATGGGGTCAGTTTTCGGAGGGGAACAGCTGGCCATATTTCACAATTTCCTTGTCAGGAAGTTTTTACACATCGGCTCAAATGAAATATGATTCTTTGATACAGAACTTTTCACTAAACTGGTTCCAAGGTTTGAGACAATCATCAAACGTCAGAATTTTGTTGGTTTTTTGTAGCACTTTGTAGAGACTTCAGAAACAATACTTTTTTAATTCTTATTGTTAGCCAGGTTTCTAGCCCAGAAATACTATGGCCTTCTTTTCAATACGTAGTAATTAATTTCTAGAAAAGTTATCTTGTATTCTGTAACTCCTTAACAAAGAATAACCAAATTTAGTAAACAGACCTAGACCTTCATAATACTCTTCCACCCTCTGAAAAAAGACATTTAATATTATCCACACACACAAGAAGACATTATATTTGCAACCTTCAGAAAAGTTAGGCTCTTTCTAATCAGCTATCCTTAAGACAGGGTTAGTTGAAAAAAAACTAAAAGTAAAATGACATAATATTAACTAGTAATAAAGAAAAAAAATTAACAAGAAGATATCTGCTTTGCTCCTCTACGGACAGTGTGAAACAAGTCTGAAGACAGGGTTGGTTGAAAAATCTGAGACTTCTGTAAAAGTTTCTGAACTTACAAAACGCTGCGCCTTCTGACGCTCCTCTTCTGTCGCAGCTCGCTCTCGAAGAATGGCTCGAGTCAAATGTTCATTTGAAGAAATCCTTTCTCGCTCCAGAATTTTGCCAAACTCATCACGTACATACATTTGTTCTTGTTTCAATCTACAGAAGGTGGAGGGAAATTCAATTTGAAGGTGTATTTTCCAAATGTAGTTTAAAAGGACATAGGCACAGCCACTTTAAAAGCAGTCACTGTAATGAATTATGAACAGCTTAGAGATACCTGAATATGAATATTTGCTATAAATTCCAGAAGTCTGTTTCAGAATAAAGTGTCAAAATCAGAATATGCAAATTTAACAATACTTAGTGATCCTTAAATCACAGAAAATACAACTCATTCAGGAGCTTTATGAAAATACTTCTTTAAATAGTAAGAATATGCACGAAGCTCCATTTGTTGGTCGATTTTGTTCTGTTTTTAAGGAAGCCTTTTTCCAGGACAATCCCTCTCTCCGCCAGCCAGTGGGCACCCCACTTCTAGCTAACAGCTCTGTTCTTTTCTGCAATGAGATAATGCTTTCCTATCTCTGGACATACCAGAAACCCAAATACTGCATCTATTTACCAAGCTGCAAAAAAGACCGAACAACCAGAATGAACTTTTGCCAGTGATCTGAGAGGATGAGATGAAAATAGCTATTAAACGTGTTACAACAGAGTTAATAAAGGCAATTCCAGTCCCAGCAAATTCTCAACATTTATATGCCACAAACCATTAATATATTTGAAATCTTCACTACAGGATTTGATCTAAGTACACCACATCTAATTTTCATGAAAATAGATAGTATCAATTGTTTAGCTAATAAAACTTATCTGTTGCATGTATGTTGTGACACTGAACACAAGAGTTAGCATTCGGGAACTCAGAATAGTAATGGCAGTATCAAACACTGGTTTTCAAATAGATTTTTGAAAGAGTGATGGAGAGGAAGCTTAAGTATTCTCAGTGCATTTATACGTTGTCAAGGGAGCTTCAGAGAACAAATCATAATGAGTAGGGTCACTTTGTAAAAGGTAGTAGCATTATAGTACATTAGATTCTTCCCCAGGGAAAATATTTAAGTGAGGTGGGGAGGAAAAAAGACAATTACAAGATGTATTACTTCAGCGCTCAGACACAACCCCCTGAAACGCAGCAACCAACTGGGAATCTTTATAAAAAGTTTATTAAGCAGCATCTTCAATTACTCTAGCAAAAAAAAAAAAAAAAAAAAAAAAAAGGCAGATTATGCAGACATGGACCAAATTCCATTAAGTGATTTCCCAAGGTCCCCCAAAGTATTCCAGCGGCATTGATATAACAAATCCTTCACACAATCAATGGTGCAGTCAAAACACGCTGGTTGTCTTTTCGATTGGAGAAATCATGTTTTGTCTAAAAAGAAAAAAAAAGTGTCAAAATAGAAGTCTCAGCAGCTTTCTCCTTGTGAGAGACAGCAGAGAAAGCATTTAGCATTTCCAGAGACTGGAGTAAGCTCCTTCCTCATCCCTTCTGGATTTCACTTCCCACAAGTGTTTTTTTTTCCTCCTAAAAATGTCTCTTCTTTATGTATCCTGTACCTAGCAGAGTAATTAAAAGTATATGAAATCAGATAATGTCCAAAAGAGGCTGCCAAGGGTTACCACATTACAAACTCTCCAAAATTAAAACAAACACTTAGTTGTTTACATCTAATTCTTGACAAATCATTCCCAGATTTGACACGAGCTCAGTCTTCTCAAATCTTCTCCTTCTTGCCCCCGGAATTACAAACCTTCACGAGATCTCCTCTCAACCTCTCTTGCAAAAAGAAGAAAGTCAGGTTTCCTTACACTTAAAAATAATGGGCTCCTAATGTCAAGATAAACCCTTTGATAGCTTAACCTGACTGCTGGTACATTCAGCTTCCCTGCTAAGTACACTACAGAGGGACGGGATGTTCTTTTCTACTTTTGCCAAAACTCCGCCGCATCCTTTGCTGCAAACTTCCTACAAGCTGACGACCCAGAATCTCGTCTTCATTCGCGAGTCATCCGACTCTCCACCCTACAGCGAGCCGTTGAAAAGCTTTTCATCGGAAGCTCTGACATCCCACAGAATTAGCAGACAATGACACAGCCGTGGGCACGGCCACACCAGCGACAGAAGGGATGGCCGTATAATGCTGGTTTCCCACAAGAAGAGAACTCAGGGCAAGACTTGCTATTTTGACCTCAACCAGCCCATTTAAAACTAGTCCAGATATCTCAAACACTACCCTTTGCCATTCCAGTTTTAAGTATTTTCTTGGCCACAAACAGCTGTATCCTACCTGTCCTGGTTTCCGCTGGGATAGAGTTAATTTTCTTCATAGTAGCCAGCATAGTGACGTGTTTTGGATTTAGTACCAGAAGAATGTTGATAACACACTGATGTTTTCAGCTGTTGCCAAGTAGTGCTCAGACTACTCAAGGACTTTTTGAGCTTCTCCTGCTCGGCCAGGTGCAGAACAAGCTGGGAGTACAGCACAGCTAGGCCAGCTGACCCAAACTGACCAAAGGGCTATTCCATACCATAGAACGTCATGCTCGGGGGGGTTAGTCGGTCAGCTGGTCGCGGGGAGAGTGATCGCTGCTCGGGGACTGCTCGCGGCTTGGGACGGGCATCGGTCGGTGGGTGGTGAGCAATTGCATTGTGCATCATTCGTTTTGTATATTCTGTTATCATTCTCATTATTACTATTATTATTTTCTCTTATTAAACTGTCTTTATCTCAGCCCTCGGCTCTAACCTTTTATTTTCTTCCCGATTCTCTCCCCCATCCCACTGAGGGAGGGGGGAGTGAGCGAGCGGCTGCGTGGTGCTGAGTTGCCAGCCGGGTTAAACCACGACACTACCACAGCAAGAGAGGAAAGGATGGGGATAGGACACCCAAAACTGGCACCTATAAAACCCCTGCCAAAGTTGTATAAGTCTAGGCCTGATCCAGTAGGTTATTGGTTTCCAAGTACACCATGTGATAAAAATCCCAGAAAAAGGACTCTGTGCCATCCTTTGTTGGCAATTGCGTCTCACTGTTGTCAAACCAAACCCCAAGGAACTTCCATCGCAACGGAGTAACCGATAGGAGTGCAGGGAAGGTCCCTCACTTCCAACTCCCACCTCTAGTAGCAATGCATTGTAAGTTTTTAACAAATTACTACCTGCCCACCTCCTTTTTCCCCACTCCATGTGTAAAATGATATTACTAAACAGTTAAGTAACATATTCTTTCCCAATATATGAAGATGAAAAACAGTATTTCATACTAGTTTGCTCACTGGTACCAATACAACTAATGATGTGAAATATTGATGTCAAAAATTGATTTTATCTGTTATTCGTAACAGTTCATCCAAATTCAGTTTTCTTAGCTACACACCGCCCTCCTTCCTTAAAGTAGGATTTCTTTGCTGTCTTCAAAAATGCACATATAGTGGTATAAAGTCAGCATAAATACCCAAACACAAAACTGTAAGCATCTACCACGTCATCAGGTAGGTAACGGTTTTGCAGCGAAGCAGAAGTGCATTGCATTAATTGAACAACTTCATCCGAAACAACCAAAAAAACCAAAAATCAAAACCACAACCTTCTTCATTAAAAAACCCTAATCCAAACAAACAAAAGTGCTCCAAAAAACAACGCCCCCCCCCCCCCCCCAA